CAGAGGCTGATGCGGGACTCGAACCCATGACCTGTGAGATCATGACCTGAGCCGGAGCTCGTTGCTCAACCGACTGAGCCACCCAGGTGCCCTGGGGAAGGACAATTCTTGGCCCAAGGTCTCTTTCTGGAGAGCCCCAACAGGGAAAACTACATCCCAGTTCAGGAGTACCAGAGCCCATCTATAGCCCCAGACTAAGAACCCCTGTTCTAGATGATTCCACATGCCCATCAAGAGTTGCTCACTGATGAACAGCCTGATGTGGTATGTTAGCGCCCTGCTTCGAAAAAAGCAAACCAAATTTATAAAGCCCTGTGACTCCTGGCACCTGATGCTCTAATTGCTCATCGGATGCTGAACATTCACCCATGTCCCTGGGGCACAGGCGGGCTTGCTCTGGGTGGCCATGATTTATCGTTTCCTGCTAATTCTGCCCATCCCCTCAATGCGCAAAACCTCCTATATTTATGTGGAAACTGCCTTCTTACTATTTCAATTCAACTGCTCTGCCTGCTCACTAGAAGGTGTCCTGAAGCAGAAGCTTCTTCCCAACCCACTGAGCCTTGCTTTTTGTCTCCTGTCCCGTTTAGAAGAGGGACAGCAACAGGAATGGCCTCGGTGGTAAACAGCAAGGGCTCAAGGCAGGCAGACCTGGCCCTACCACTTAATAGCCTTGGGACTTTGGCCAGTGGCCTCAGTTTCTTCATCTGTAAAATGGGGCTGGTATAACTACTATGTCTGCTCAATGAATGAAATCAACAGAGAAGCGCCACCTATGGTCAGTGCCTCTCACCATCACAGAGGACCTAGGGTCCCACCTCTCTGGCTCACTGTGCAGTATCTAAGTAAGAGGGGTCAGTGCCTTGTGCTTGGAAGACCCCCCCACATTTGGTTTAATACTCTGCCTTAGCCGTCCTGACATTTTTAATAATTTTTTAACAAAGGCACCTGTTTTTTTGTTTTGCCCCACAAATGATGTGCCCAAATCCAGCTGTAGGTTTCCCCCAGGGTCTTCCCCAAATCACGTCCTATGAAAAAGCATTGAGGGCCTAGGAGAGGGGTCTACTTTGGGGCAGAACCTGGTGGGCGGAAAGCTGCCAAGAACCAGATCTATAAACTTCCAACTCAGCCTGGATACTACGCTAGGGCCCTGGGTTTGCAAAGGCATGGAATAGTCATGGACTTGGCCCTCAGCCTGCAAAGGAGAAAAATGGAGGAGAGAGAAACAGGGTGTGCCAGGCCTGGCTGCCTGAATCAGACCCCTCCCTCTTCCTCCCTGCCTCCTTTCTCTCTTCCTTTTGCCTTTTTCTCCCCGCTCCCCGCCTCTTCTCACATTCTCCCCCACCTTTTTCCTCCTCTGTTTTCTCAGATCTCTTTTCTTTCCCTTTATTTTTTTTAAGTTTATGTATTCATTTTGAGAGAGAACAGAGACAGCGCAAGCGGGGTGGGGCAGAGAGAGAGGGTGAGAGAGAGAATCCCAAGGAGTCTCTACTCTGCCAGCTGGGGAGCTCGAACCCATGAACCTGGAGATCATGACCTGAGCCGAAACCAAGAGTTGGATGTTTAACTGACTGAGCCACCCAGGCGCCCCTCTTGTCTTGCCCTTTAAAATCAACAAATACTTTAATCCCAACTCTGTGTTCAATGTGGAGTTAAGCACAATTATCCACGTGTCTCTCTCCTCACCACCTGAAATTTCTTTCCGGTTCATTTGGGTTCTGTTTTTTATTCTTTCTTGGCCTTGCTTTTCTGTCTTCTCTCTCCCTCCTTCTGATTCTCTCTCTCTCTCGATCTCTTTCTGTGTCTCTCCCTGCCTCTTGCTGTGTGTTTCTCTGTCTCCTTTCTTGTTCTCTCTCCTCCCTGTTCCTGTGTCTCTGTTTCCCTCTGCCTCTGTCTCTCTCTCTCTGTCCCTCTTGTGGTCTCTGTCTGTGCTCCACCCCTGACGGGAGCACTCCCACCCCAGCTCCCGCTCCCAGGGACTCAGCTGTCAGGCTGCTCACACTGTGAGCTGCCTTGAAACCCGCCAGCGCATGTTCTTGAGGCTGGATTTTTCTGCCGTCCACCTGGGTTAGAAAAATCTTTTGACCTTTGAGATTCCCGTAAAAAGAACTAAGTACCACCCGGGAACGGGCAGCCCCTGCAACAAAAGCCTCCTTCCTAGGCTTTGTGTTTTCAAATGAAAAGCACAGCCCTGGTGGCGTGTGGGCAGACCTCAGGGTCCCCCACAGGTTCCCCTCCCACTGTAACCCCCCAGGGGAGAAGAGCTGGTGACAATTTTGTTTTCTGGAGTCAACAAGTGCAGCAGATGTGCCCAGCAGAGGCCTCTTAATCCCGCTGAGCCATTTGCCACAAATCCCTCTTGTCACAATTTAGCTGTGAGCTTGAGAGAGTGACAAGAGGGGCGCAGAGGGGAAACAGGACAAGGTTGTGAAAAGATCCTGGGGGGATGTTAAGAACACAGCAAGGCAGCCAGAGATCGCAGGGTTCAAGGCCATCCATCTAAGCAAGGGCTGGATAACCTTGGGCAGAATGAGTGCCAGCCGTCACGCTGTGCCTGCTGCAGGGATAATCTGGTCCAATCCTCCCAGCAACCCTGAAAATAACAACCCAGTCTAGAAAGGGAAGCTGAGGCCCACCTCAGTCCCCAAGGGAATGTCTCATCCATCCCAGACCGGCCTCTGAGAACTGCCTCACTGCCTCTTCTGCGGAATGGTGTCCACACGGCCCTTGCAGAGTCAGGGAACCCGGAAGACCCTGGCTGTCAGGAAAGTGGTACGCGAGTATAGAGCACGTCTTTGGGGGAGGCTGGGTCTGTCCCACAAGCTCCCAGAGCTCCAGCCAGCGGCCTCCTGGAGAGTGTTCTGGGCCGCTAGAGAAGAGGCGACCGTGCGTAGAGAGTCCGCAACTCTCTTCTGGAAGCCCAGCCAACCCCTCAGACAGGCTGTCCTCCAGGGAGGGCAAGATGGCCAGCCATCTAAGACGTTTTCTCTTTCCGCAGTTGAACGTGTCTGAAATCAGGGCATAGCTTACAAATGATGCCCTTTTGTAATTACTTGGCAGTCTTTTCTTTAGGGCGCGTCAAAGGACAGCGAGTCCTACAATCTGAGGTGGAGCTTTCTACTCCCAGGAGCGAAGGGAGCCCAGGGGCTGGCGCTCACTGGCCCGACCTGGATCAAGTGCCTCGCCCTGGCCAATTGCTGCAGCTCTGGGTGCAGTCCCTTCCTCAGGTGCCTCTCTGGGGTTAAGGACTGGGGCCAGCGTCACCTAAGCAGGTGGAAGGGCTGCTTTCTGGGAGGAAAATCAGGAGGAAAGGCTGTGGACTCTGTGAACTCCAGGCGGCCAGAAACAATTGGTGCCTACGCTGCACAGGGTCATTGTGAGATTGGGCGAGACTATGTGCGTGAGCCCACGGGCCCTAGTAAGTGCCCATACCCTAATCTGGTGTTATTATTAAAGATGCCAAGTTGACACATTTCGCCAGACCCTATTCAGGCCTCTAGATAAAACTTCCAGGAGCACCTGGGTGGCTCAGTCGGTTGAGTGTCCAACTTCAGCTCAGGTCATGATCTCACAGTTCCTGAGTTCAAGCCCTGCGTCGGGCTCTCTGCTGTCAGCACAGAACCCACTTCAGATCCTCTCTCTCCCACCTTCTTTGCCCCTTCCCCACTTGCTCTCTCTCTCTCTCTCTCTCAAAAATAATAAACAAACAAAACCTTCTAGTTTGCAGAAAATTCCCAAGACAGAAGAGCAAGTTCAATGACACCACCAGGAGCTACTCAGACAAATGAAAGGTGTTGAATCTGAACGGACGGCATGCAGGTGTTCTGTGGGGTTTTTTTCTTTTTACATTCTTTCAGTGTGTTTGGAATTTTTCAAAATACAAAAGCTGGTGGGAACAAGCACATGAAAAAGATATTTAATGAGATGCTACTTCAGTCCTGCTAGGATAGACACAATTTTTAAAACCCAGGGAATAGTGAGTGTCGGGAAGGATGTGGAGACATTGGAAGCCTCGTCTAACCAATGTGGAAACAACTGGGCAATTCTATGAATGAGTAAATAATGAAGTATGTGATGTAGTAATTCAAGTTCTAGGTATACACCCAGATGAGTTAAAAACAGGAACTTACAGGCACCTGGGTGGCTCAGTTGGTTAAGTGTCCAGCTTCGGTTCAGGTCATGATCTCACAGTTTGTGAGTGTGAGCCCTGCATCAGGCTCTGTGCTGACAGCTCAGAGCCCGCTTTGGATTCTGTCTCCCTTTCTCTAGCCCTCCCCCACCTCTCTCTGTCAACAGTGAATAAACATTGAAAAAAAATACAGGAACTTAAACAGATACTTGTATGTGAATGTTCATAACAGTACTATTTACAATAGCCAAAAAGTAGAAACAACCCAAATGTCCACCGATAGATAAATGACTGCATACATTTTTACATCCAAAGAATGGAATATTACCCAGCCATAAAAAAGGAATGAGGTGTTAACACAGGCTACAGTGTGGATGAAGCTAGAAAACATTAGCCTGAGTGAAAGAAGCCGGGCACAAAAGATGCCATGTTATATTATTCCAACAGTGGAAATATCTAGAATTGGCAAATCCATGGAGACAGGAAGCAGACTGGTGGTTTCCAGAGGCCAAGGGAGGAAGAGGAAGAGTAACTGCTTAGCGGGTATGAGGTTTTCTTTTGGGGAGATGAAAATAGCTTGGACTTCAGCCATTTCACAACACTGTGAATGTATTAAATGCCACCGAATTGCTCACTTTCAAATGGCCAAGTTTATGTTAGTGTGTGAATTTCACACCAATACAAAAAATGGGAAAAAACAAGTGGGAAAATAAGATAAAAATAAATATATCAAAAGCCCGCACAGGACATATCCACAGGTAAGTAGGGAAATGAGGCAGGAAACGAGAGGCAGTCAGCAAAAAGTGCAGTGAACAAGTGTGTACCTTGCTTCATGGCGTTCTTTTCCACCTGGGGCCCCTGGGAGCCAGGGTGGACACACACCTTAGTCTCTGCATCCCAAACAGGGAGAGAGGAGAGGTAATCGCTCTTCACTTCCCATCAGTCACTGGGGGAGGGACGCTCTCAGAGGGTGCTAATTCCCTGACACTGCTGGCCCATCACCTGTGCCAACAGACGGGGCTGTCCGGAGCAATCCCTGGGGAAAGGAACACAGGTGCAGAGAAATGGTAAGGGCCGTTGAGGACATGCGACATCTCCTGCAGATTCTAAGATGAGAGCGTATGACAAGACAAACAAAGGTCTTTCTTCCCTGCCCAGATGGCTGGTAAAATCCAGACCAAAGAAATAAGTGTCTCCATTTGCATTTGTGAGAGTAACAGCCCCGTCTCCAGCCCACCCGTAGTTGGACTTTCGCAGATGGGCCGTACACCTGCTGGGAATGTCTCCCAAAATCTAGCGGGACCTCAGGGGTTGTGAGAAATGTATGCCCCTCTCACGCCCTCACACACCATTACGTGAAACTCATGAATTCTTAAAGAACTAACGCAACCCAAAGCTCCCTAGCAAGACAAAGCTAGGGCCCCTGGGAATGAATTCCACACAGAAGGAAATGCCAGCCAATGGGCACGTAACCTCCCCTTGCCGAGCTGGCCGGTCCCAGCGCTGCGATCACACGTTCACAGGCAGCAGCCACCGCACCTGTTCTGCTGGTGGCTTCAAAGTAGGAGGGCTGAAGACAAGTGTGAGTGGGAGTGACTTGGTGAGGTAGAGCGGAACCGTACCCAGGCCTGGAATGCCGGATGGGGGGGGAGGGGGGGGAGGGGCGGAATGACTTCATCTCCATCATTCTGCTTCTCTCTCTTTAGAAGGTCAAGCTGACCGGGTCAGAGAGAGCCTCGAAACGTGATGATTTTGCCATTGACTCCCACCGATAGACTGACGGGCGCTCCCCATGGTAGCGGGTATGTGCTGAACCTGTCACCGCCTCTTCAAAACACTGCTGGTTTCCATGGAAACAAAAAAAGCACTTAGAGCCGCTGGAAATTTCAAGTCAAGATGTCCAAAACGATGCCTGCAGTGTATTTTTTTCTGCGACCTGCTTTGGAAGAGAAACAATAGCGCAACTTTGCAAAGAAGACAAAGGAAGATATGTGATCATAAGAATGGCTTGACACCATTTGTAGATCCCAGCAGCCTGTCTGGAATCTGTCCTCTTAAGAATAAGCTCAAGGGAGATATTGGGGGAGGCATATCCACTGCTCTGCACGCTCCTGACTTCAGACACAATTTTGTTATGGCCACAAGCCTACTTGGTGTTCACAGAGTTTAAATCTTTTTAAAAAAAATTTTTTTTAATGTTTATTTATTTTTGAGACAGAGAGATAGATCCTGAGCGGGGGAGGGACAGAAAGAGAGAGGGAGACACAGAATCTGAAGCAGGCTCCAGGCTCTGAGCTGTCAGCACAGAGCCCGACGCCGGGCTGGAACCCACTGACCGTGGGCTCATGACCTAAGCCTAAGTTGGACGCTTAACCGACTGAGCCACCCAGGTTCCCCTAAATCTTGACAGGACAATACAGCAATAGGGCTCTTAATACACTTGCTAAATGAACCCAGAATCTCTTGCATGCCAATCTCCCTCCCACTCTCAGAGCTAAAAAAGAGCTTCTCAACTCGGATGATTATATATCTATTTTTTTCAATCCACTCTGTAAGGTGGTAAATGTGAAACAAAAGATAATGTCTGCCTTTAACAGCTGTCAGGTTGGCATACCATAAGGTGAAATTGTCTCTTAACCCCCTGGAGAAGATACTCAATTTATTTTTAAGAAGTGCGTTCAAAGAAATAATTAGACAACCTGGAATTTAAAATCTTTTCTGTTATGAGATAAAAACACATCTTCCGAGTCTGACTTCTGAATTTTGTTTGCGCCATTGGAAAAGCGTGGCTTTACCCTCTTGGTTTTTTGTTTTGTTTTGTTTTGAAGATTTTATTTATGTTTTTAATTTTTAAAAAATGTTTTGTTTATTTCTATGAGAAAGAGAGAGACAGCGCGAGCAGAAGGAGATACAGAATCTGAAGCAGGCTCCAGGCTCTGAGCTAGCTGTCAGCACAAAGCCTGACACGGGGCTCGAACCCACGAACTGTGAGATTGTGACCCGAGCCGAAGTCAGACGCTTAACCGACCGAGCCACCCAGGCGCCCCTGAAGATTTTATTTTTTAACTAATCTCTACACCCAAAGCGGGGCTTGAACTCACAACCTCGAGATCAAGAGTGGCATGTTCTACAGACTGAGCCAGCCAGGTACCCCCTTATCTTCTTGGTTTGACTCCTGGTTCAAATCATTAGTGGAAAACTCCTGACTTCTCCACTTCACTTGTGGGAATCAGCATTTTTCCTTCCAGATACTCGAGGTAGAACCCTGGAAGCAACCTCGACTCCTCGTTCTCCCTCAACCACCCTTATCAGTCAGCTCAGGCTGCCAGGACCAAATACCATAGATGGCATTCTGCCTTAAACAGCAGAAACGTGTTTTCTGTTGGTTCTGGAATCCGGAAGATTCTGAGATCAGGGTGCCAGCACAGTTGGGTTCTGGTGACACCCCTCTTCCTGTCTTGCAGACGGATGCCTTCTCGCTCTCTTCTCACATGGCAGAGAGAAAAAGAAAAAGAGGAAGGGAGAAACAGCGAGCTCTCCCCTGGTGTCTCTTCCTCTTCTTAGAAGGACACTAATCTCATCATGAGAGTCCCACTCGTGACCTTATTAAACCTAAATGCTTCCCGAGGGCCCCATCCCCAAACACCATCATGTTGGGAGTTAAGGCTTCAACACGCATTGTGCGGGGGGACGCAATTCAGTTAATAGCATCCCCAGATTCGTCAGTCACCAAATCTTGTTCATTTTATCTTCCAAATACTTACTAAGTTCCTTTTCTCCTCTCCATTGCCACTACCACTGTCCTAGTTAGGATGTTTATCATCTCTTGCTAAGACTACCGCAGTCGCCTACTAGCTAATCCCTCTGCTCTTACTCTTGCCCTCTTCAAATCCACCCTATGTATATTAGCCTTGGTTTCCAAAAATTGAAGCCTGATAGGGTAGTATGGGAGGCCAGCCATCATGGGAAGATATACGTATAGAGGGTGGGTTATATCAGTCACAATGGAAGCTCTACATCTTGGAGAGACCAGCCACCACTACCACAGCCAAAGCCTCCACCGCCCCAGTGCTGGCTTCCTTGCCTCTTTTGGAGTGAGGTTGAGGTCAGGCATGACCCCCCTTCAACTTGCCATGGCAGGAGCTGTGGGTCTACCACCCAGGTCCATGACCGCACCAGACTCCTGAAGACTCTGCTCCTCTCATCATGTCTAGACTTGGACTGAGCCTCATATGACAGGGCCTGGATCTGGCCTCCCTAGCAGCCTCCCAAAAGGGCTAGAAGAGTGTGTGAATTTCTTGCCCCATGGGATACATTTGGATCCAGTAAGCATCTAGAGCCTCTCTCTTCCTTTCTTCAGTGAGCTGGCCTGAGGCACAGTGTTCCTCTGCTGCCTGTCCAGAGATATCCCATGTGACTGAGCAACTGGCTGGGCCTCTTGACGAGGTCCCTTGATATTCATTTAGCCTCCTCCTTTGGCTTATCCCCACCCTCCTGTCCACCCAAATATCGTGTCCTCTGTGTCAACTTCCCTGCCTCGCCACCATCCCTGCCCCCAAAACAGGCCCAAGATAGATACCCCCCTTCCCTACCACAGAAATCTGCACTGTTGAAACCATCAGCTTTACTGAATGATACAGCCCCCATGACTCTCTCCTAATAGACATTGAACTCATTTCTGTAATCTCCAATGCCCAGCACCGTGCCTGGAACACTCAGTAACAATTTGCTAAACTGAAAGACCCCATTTATGATTTCTTTATGAGGCCAAAAATAGTGAATGGGGTTTCTACAGACATAAGACACCGAAGGAAGGCATCCCTGGACATAGAGGCAGCCTGAGCAAATACCCATTCACAGGAAAATGCCACTGTATAAGGGATAGGCTAGGCCAGGTAGGTTGGGGCCCGCTTTTGGAAGGTATGGACAACAAACTGATGACTCTACATATCTTTTTGATGAGTAAATTGGGAGCCCTTGAAACTGGGGAGTTGCTTTAGAAAACTCAAATTGTTGGTGATGTGTAGCATGAATGGGAGTGAGGGTTGTGGACTAGGGAATGGTGTGGCTCGGAATTGCTATGACAGCAAACACAGTGGGAAAGAGACAGGGGAGGTAGGGTCTACTGGATGTTACAAGCCCTCAAGGGTGGAAGGAATCAATGTTGGCTTCTAGTATTGAGAATAAGGCTCTGAGAGGAGGCAGGGGCCAGCTACAGAAACCGGAAAGACAGGAAGAGTTTTTGGTTTGGGGGGGGGGGGGGGGGGGGGGGGCGGTGTCAGAAGCTTTTTCATAAAAGATAAGACTTTTTGCTGTAATACACACACCAGCAGCAGCAGCAGCAGCAACAGCCAGGGTGGGTGGTTCTAACTTTTGCTTTTTGCCACTGCCTTATTATCAGTGATGAGCCTAGGAGTAAAATAACATTTCCACAAATTCAGAGGGCAAGAGCCATCTGTCTGGCCAGTTTATGCTTTAAAAGTAAGGTGAGTCAGCAAAGGCAAAAGTGTCAGCCCTCCTGCCTTTGCTCTCCCTGAAAAGTCCAACTAAACATTCATACTGAGGGCATGTGCCCTTGAGACTCAATAATGTATTCCTTTAGGGACAGGTAATTAACGTTTGTGGGGCAGAAAAGCAAGCCGAAGGGTGGGGGGGATGAGAAAGGGAAGTTACGTAACAATAGGAAAATTCCTCTTTCCTTACATCAACTCAGCGAGCTTCTTGAAAGGAGGAAATGGAGGTTGCATATCCAACAGGCTGTTACTATTACTGCAGTCATCACCATATTCACATTTCAAGCACACACTCAGTGCCCAGCCTTGGCTGTTAATTGGTCAGTAAGTTAAGACTGTTCATAAAGCATCACTTGGACAGCTGACCTTAAGGAAGATGGGAAGTCCAAGTTGCAGCCCCTGTCTCCCGAGCTTATTCTCTACAGTTTGGTGCTCCAAACCCACAGGATCACTTAGAATTAAGAGGCTAGAGACTATTCAGTACAGCAAAGCCTAAAGGTAAAAATTCAGCGTCTTCATAGCGTGCAAGCAAGCAAGCAAAAGTGTTTGGGGAGCACAGGGGCGCCATCTTGGGATGGAACAGTTTGGAGAACATTCTCTCCTACTTTTCATCATTTCGTTCTCAGCGGGCTTCACTGAGGTGATATATAGAGATGTGAAGAGCTGGTATATCGAGTGCTTGCATATGAGCTGGCATACCGAGTACTTGGATATTACCAAGTGATCCTGACGTAAGTGAAGAGGAGAAGTCCATTCCAGAAGTGAGAATGGTTGAAAGGATCCATCAGTTTCTATAAGGCAAGGCCAGAGTCTCTCAGTGTGGAATTCAGAACCTCTACACCAGAACCACCCAAGCTGCTGGTAAAGGCAGGTCCCCCGCATTCCACCCCAAGACTGATTCAGCCGGTCAGGACCAGGGACAGAGAATCTGCCCCTGGTGGTGATGAGGCGTCCTAAGTTTGAGAACCCTCGCAAGTCTTTCTCCTGAGCCCTTCCATTACCACCAATCCCAGGAATCACTCTCTCATATTCAATTATTTATTCAAATATATGTACTGAGTCTTGCTGCCTGCCAAGCTCCATTC